ATCCTAATATCTAAGTTGAGACAATTAATTAAAGGTTATAATCTAAAAATTTTTTTGTATTCATTATACTTAAAGTAATTCTATGATTTTATATATTTTAAAATTAAAGATTTATTTAATTAAATTTAATAATAAATTCAAAAGTAAATTAGTATAAAGTATTACAATCAAATTTGATGTGAGAAATAATATTGAAAAAAAAAGTAATTTTTTTAAGCTTTAATTAATTTTTTATTTATAATTTATAAAACTTACAAAAGAGTTTCAAGTTTTTAGAGCTTTTAAACTTCCTGAATTATTTTACAACTTTAACAAAATATAAAACATTTTATATAAAACTATTTATTACAATTAAATATTTATTATGCTATAAATTAATTAAATTATAAAATAAATTTTATAATATAATTTAAATAATATAAATAATAAAAAGAAATAAAAATAATTAAATAAATTAAAAAAGTTACAGAAAAAACAGAAGAAAATAGGTTGTATAAAAATTATAAAAAAAACAGAAAAAACGAATAAATCATTAAAATTAAAAGTATTAATCTAATTTTAATTATGCCAATCATTTTGATATAATACTTTTTTATATAATCAATCTATATAAAATATATTGATTTTTTGTTTAATATTAAAAATATAAAATACATTTAAAATAAATGTATTAATTATAATCAAATTTTTTTAGTAAAAAATTAAAATTAAATAAAAGCATACACTTAAAGAAAAACATATTTTAAAAAAAATGTATTTAAAAAACTTTAATTTTATATTATTTTTATTAAAATATTTATTAATTTGATTAAATAAATTTATTTTTAGTTAAATATTAATTTATTTAAATAATTAATTATTTTTATAATTATTTTATGATTTATTTATTTTAAAAAAATATTATATCATAAAATCAAAATATATATATATTTCAATTTTACAAAATCATTAAAGAAATTTTATATTATACTATTAACAGTTAGTAATGTATTTTTTGATCATAAATATTACAAAGTTTTGAATATATAATAAATATCTCTAAATTAATTATAAATTTACTTTGTTAAAATTTATAATAGTAATTATTAAAATCTTAAGATTTAAATAAATGTAATTGTAATTATTAAAAAAATAATATATAAATAATTAACACGTCGTAATTTAAACTTATTATTGAAAAAAATTGGTTAATTGATTATAATTTAGAAAAAATTGATTTGGTGCAAAATATGAAAAATGATTATTTTAATTTCAAAGGAATGGCAGTTCCAAAAAGTTTCGCATTTATAATTCAAAGAAAATTTAATTCTGCCCGACGAATCAACATTATGGTAAATGCTTGATAATAATTAGATCAACAAAAATTGATTAAGGCGTCAAAAAAAAATTTTTTTTTTGATCCAAATCTAAAAAAATATCTTTATTTTTACTATTTTCTTATTTTTATAAATTATGACTGAAGCATCACCGACTCAATTTGCTTGTAAGTTGATCAAACAGAGTATTTTTCTTGTATGCTGTTCGACTAATAAAAATTTGAAATTATTTAATAGATCGTTCGGCTAGTAATTTGGGTTTAGTCTTTGGACACCCAAGTTATAAGCCCGTAAAAAACTTTCAAAAGTATATAATATTAAAATGAACTAGTTTGTGCATTTATTGTAAATTTTCATTATTTTTAATAATATTCCTTATTATTATCAAGTCCCGGTGGCAACGTCAAAACCTTTCAATATAGTAAGGATGGTAAATATCTTGGTTGGGCCTCTCCAGAAAGGTAATTTTCAATTGATTTGCTTTTACTTGTTATAGCGAAAAAAAGATTTTTATTTAATTCAATATTTTTAGCGTAAAAATCATTGAAACTGAGAATGCTCAACTTAAGAGTGAAATTCCAAAGGAACAAAAGGGGAAAAGCGTTTGTACCGAAACCGTGCCAGAAGAAAATATTGCTGATGCTAAAAACGATCAGCTTGTGAGTAAAGCCCCAAAGAAAAAAATCGTTGAAATCGGATTCTCACCAAAAGGAACATATATTTCTACTTGGGAGCGTCCAGGTGAGTCAAGTCAACAATTTTGCTATTATTATTAATCTAACCCCTATAGTTTATATAAAATAATAAAAAAACCATATATGAATATATCTTGGCACATATCAGTTAAATTATCTGATGGATCAGTTCATAAGAATTTGATTATCTGGGAGGTGCTTACTAGAGAGGAATTGATTTCTTTCACTCAAAAGAGTCAGAACAATTGGTTAGTTAATTTTTAATTCTATATAAAATATATAAGTTTGTTAACCAATTTATTTTGCATATAGGAATGTTCAATGGACTGAAGATGAAGCGTTTTTTGGTCGAATCGTTACTGGAGAGGTCCATTTTTATGACAGTAAACGTTTGGATAAGGGGGTTCATAGTAAATTACGGTTGGAAAATATCAGCGATTTCTCTTTATCACCCGGAAAGAGTCCCTCGATAGGTGTATTTGTCCCAGAGAAAAAAGTAAGCTAATTTTTTTTGATCTATGCACAGTTTATTTAGCATATTTTTTAATTTTCATAATAATGGTGTATATAGGCCGCACCTGCTATTGTTCGAATATATTCCATTACCAACTTTAACGCTCCTTTGGCACAAAAAACGTTTTATAAAGCTGACAAAATCCAAATGCAATGGAACGATTTAGGTACTAATTTATTAGTTCTGACTCAGACTGATGTAGATAAAACGAATAAATCATATTACGGAGGTAATGTCCCTTTTTATTTATTTATTTATTTATTTTTTTAAAAAAAAAACTTTAATTAACGCGAGTGATTGTTAATTTTATCCTTAGAAACAAATTTGTACTTTTTATCAGTAGCCGCCAATTACGATTGTCGCGTTGGTCTTGGTAGCTATTTGAAAATTTTGTTATTATGTACTTGATATGATTAACAATGTAATATCGAATTAATTTTACAGACAAAGATGGTCCAATTCACGATGTTTCATGGAGTCCAAACTCAAAAGAATTTGTAGTTATCTATGGATGTAAGCGATCAATTATATTTATTTATTTATTTTGACGGAATTTAATAATGAATATATGAAATAGATATGCCTGCAAAGGCAACGTTATTTGATCATCGCGCAAATCCTATACATGAATTCGGTACCGAATTTCGTAATACTGTTAAATTTAATCCTCAAGGACGACATATCCTTTCATTATATTTATGGCAAATATTATACATTCATTCAAATACATTAGAAAACTTTAAAATTCCTTAACGTCATTGACCTTTATGGTATTTCTGATATCTACTGATATTTATTGCCGGGTTTGGTAATTTGAATGGAACAATGGACATTTGGGATCGTAATTCATTGAAAAAAATAACAACTGTAGAAGCTCCTAATTCGTCGGAATGTTCCTGGTCACCGGATGGACGTTACATTATGACAGCGACATTAAGTCCACGACTTCGAGTGGATAACGGTTATAAAATTTGGCATTATACTGGTGCTTTGGTACATAGTCAGAATATTCAAGAATTATTACAGGTTAGTTTTCTTGATGAAATACGAAAGTCGTCAAAAAAAAAAAAGATTGTATTGATCATGTTATTAAATACATTTATAGGTTCAATGGCGGCCCGCGAGTGTTGAACTTTATCCTATGCGACAGTTATCTCCGGCACCTGAAAATGCCAAGAGTCCTACGTCACCGACGAAACCTTCATGTAAGTTCGTTTGTTATTAACATATTATTTATCGATTTATCGAGCTATTTTTTTATTTATTTTATTTATTATATTATAACAGCTATAAAAGCAGGCGCATATTTACCACCACAAGCACGTGCCCGTGGTACACCAACTGTTGATATTTTCAAGGTATCTTTTTATTATCTTTTCCTACAATATATTTTAATTGGTTACTCATCATTCATTTACATTTTGTAGCGTGAGGAAGAAACGAATAATAAGGTTCAAGAAAACGGAGCCAAACCCGCAGGAACACCCGAAAGTAAGGATAATTTATTATTGACCGTCTTTAATTTTAATATATTTATTAATTTTTAATTGTATAATTAGTAATGTCCAAAGCTGCCGTTAAAAATAAAAAGAAACGTGAAGCTAAAAAAAGAAGAGAAGAAGAGACCGTCAAGGAAACTGTTGATAGTTCTGATGATATAGGTCTTTCTTCTTTTATTTATATTATTTATATTACTAAATTGCTTAAATTGCTAGAATTAACATTTTCGTAACTCATTTAGATACTTTAATAGTTTCCCCCTCACAAACATCTCCCGTTAAAAATGAGATAACAAATAATGGTATTCCCGAAGTGGTTAATTCTATTGATATGGCAAAATCTGATTCAACACAGCAATCTACGAGCAATTTATCGGAAACGGATAAAAAGATTCGAAACTTAACAAAGAAATTACGACAAATCGCTGAACTTAAAGATAGACAAATGAACGGAGATAAGTTGGAAATTACACAGGTAAATATTGATAGCAGTTGTTTTCGATAAGGTAGTTATATAAACATTTTTTCCTTTTTCTTTTTATATCAGATAAAAAAAATCGAAACCGAAGGAGCTTTGCGGAAAGAATTGGAACAATTAAATTCTCAATAGTGGTTAGATGATTTACATTGAAATTGCATCAGGAAATAATACACGACATGTACAATTTGCACACCCACATCATACTCCACAAAAAAAGCTATTTTAATTTTTGGATAATTTTGCATTAATCACAATAGAATTAATTTATAAAAGCTTTAATGATTTTGTTCAAAATAAATAAATAATACCTGTTTCTTTTCATTTTCATGAGTATTAACTATAAGTAAACTTTATAAAGTTGATCATCAATATTGGGATCGACACTTTAATACTTTAATGCGCAGATGAAAATTTCGGATTACGATCTCGATATGGAGTGATATACATTAAATAGATTTTTTTATAATCACATATCTTTTTCTCATAGAAAACTTGTCTTAATCTCGATCCTTTGTGGCTCATACTAAACTATTTCTTTATATTTATTTTACCCACTATGTAAAAATAAGCAATTCTTTTAATTCTTTTCCAAAAGTTTAGATAAAAATTTTTCTTCAAAATTATTGTTGAAAGAAATGAATCTTGTTCGGTTCTTTTTGAGTTTTTTGGTAGTTGTGAGTTTATTGAATTTTATCTGTCTGGCTTATGTTCCCGGAATTTACTTTGATCGGTACGTATTTATTTATTTACATTCCAGGGAGTGAGAACACTATTTTATTAATTTATTTTTTTTTAAAAAAAAAAGAATCATAACCATTGTTTTGTCATCCACGGACTACGATACTGCGATAAAAGATCCATACTTGTTATTTCTTGTTAGTTGATTTTTTTTTTTTTTTTTTTTTTTAAAAAAAAAAAAAGAGAATATATATTAAACTTATTCTTATTTCTTTATAGTCTAAACAAGGAATCTTATTAAAAGATTTACATGGAATATGGCATCCATCACAACCGAATTATATATCGATGATATGTGCTTCAAAAAATGGAATGTTGACAGATTTTTCACAAAACTTAAATGGACCTTCATTACCGGAATTGTTGGAAGAGAAAAACATTTCATGGAAAGCGTATATAGAAAATTATCCTGGTAATGGATTTAAAGCGGATGAATCAGATGATAAATTATATGTTCGTAAACATAATCCATTTATCTCAATGAATAATATAAGAAAAGACTCAACCATGGTATCAAAAATCGTTAATTCCAAACAATTAACTGATGACATAGAGAAAGATGATGTTCCACAATATGTATTTTACGTGCCAAATATTAATAATAATGGAGAGAAAACCAATTTAAAATTTGCTAGTAATTTTTTAAAAAATGAATTCATTCCTTTAGTTCAACATTTATTAACTTCCACTAGAACCCTTTTAGTGATTACTTTTGACGAAGCCTTTACTTATATTGATTTTAATTTAACAAATTATAATCATATTTATACCACACTTATTGGACCTAATGTATTAAACTCTTTTACGCATAATGATGATACGAGATATAGTCATTTTAGTTGGGTACCTACTATCGAAGTGAATTGGAATTTATCTAGTCTTGGTAATGGCGTTGATACTGATAGAGTAAGTAACGTCCCTTTAGACCCTAATTTATTTTTGTAATGGTTAAAAAGAGGAGGTACGTACGAGTAGAGGTAAAGAAAAAGAAGGATAATACTGTGGTGTTTTGTATAGTGATTTTCTTTCTTTTTATTTTAAATTAATAAAAACCTTCGTATCTATTCATTATTCTATTTACACGAAAATTTTTAAAATTATTCACTTTTAATTTTACTTGGATTATAATCTTTAACTTTCCAAAACCCAAAAAGGTAATTCAACCTAATAATTAACAAATCAGTGGCCATTTTAATAGAATCTTTTATGAGTGAAACTTTAGAACCATCAATCTCATGCCAAGTAACAGATACTTCTACGATGGGCATTTTGAAATATTGTGCTACTAATAACACTTCAATATCGAATATCCATCCTTCTACGTGTATATTATTAAATATGTTTAACGCTGCTTTCCTCGTGAATAATTTAAATCCGCATTGTGTATCTTTTATTGTTCTTATCCCTAATATATATAATAATTTATGAAACGAGTGCATTAAAAAATTTCTAATTAATGATCTCTGTAAATAAAGGAAAGATTGGTAAATATGTATGTGAAGAAAATGATTTTAAAGAGAGAAAAAAATTTATTAGAACTCATACTTTGACTACAGCTTCAGTTTTCACTAAATGAGCTCTAGATCCAACAGCTACACCGTATCCTTCTCTTGAAATTTTATTTAATTCCTTCTCTAAACAATCTAGATCAGAAAATTTTGTCGCTCCATCCGCATCAGCAAACAAAATATATTTTCCACTAGCACATAATATACCCTAAAAAAAGATAAAAAATGAAGCTTTTATTCAACATTTTCTAATCAACAACAAACAACAACAAAAAGGAATTCTCCCATAATAAATACCAGAGTAACAGCGCCACCTTTCTTTCGATTTTTTTCCAAGGTTAACACTTTTAATTCAATTCCTCTAGGTTTAGAAAATTCCAATGCAACATTACTAGTACCATCATCACTAGCATCATCAACAACAATAATTTCATATGAAAAAGTTTTATCCGAATTCTTACGAGCTTCTAAATAGTTTACCGTTTCTTCTAACATATTAGGCATTCTTTGTGCTTCATTATATGCTGGTACTATGATTGAATAAGTATATTTCGGTGGTTCATCAAATATACTGGGTAATAATCTTGATTTACCCGTACTTGAACACTTGTAATATTTTTCACTTCCGGTTAGTGGTCGTGGTCGTGGTGACATTACAATCAATCCTATGGTCAACTATTGATAAAAGAAAAGGTTGGGGGCAAATTTAATATGGATGGGATAATAAGTGTTTCGCGTTTATAATATAAAGTTGTCGTAAAGTACAAACTTAGAAAAACTTACTCCACAAATTATTACAATAACAAACATTATTAAATAATTAATTAATTCCATTTCTTTTTTTATTTAATCTATATATTTACAAACAAAATCGTTTCAAATTTAAATAAAAAACGCGCGCAAAAAAAAAGTTGATCGACAACATTGCTAATCCAATGTTGTAAACATTTAATTGGTCTAATTTTAAAATAAAAAAATTTATTTTAATAATTCAATTAGGAGATTTAACAAATACATTCCGATAAATTGTAAAACAAATGGTTTTTCTAAGCTATAAAAAGTTATGTATAATTACTTTATTGAATAAAAAATAATTTTTTAATATTATTTATAAGTAATAACCATATTTAAGGCACGTGATTTTTCGTGAATAAAAAAATAATTCGTATAATTATATTTAATAAATCATAATTATTAAAAAGCATTTATTGTATGGGACAAAAAAAAAGGAATCCAAAAATCCATACAATTGAAGAATTAATCTGATTATAGTAGGGTGGCCTCATTTTCTGCGGCGTTAAACTCAAAATATGCTTGCTTTATATAGTTAGATATGCAAGTATATTCGAAAATTTTTTATAAAATATGCCTTCGTTTTTTTTATTTTTTTCAAAAAATGCTAAAAAAATGCGATAATTTCATCAAATTACTTTATTTAAAATCTATAATTATTATACTGCAATTACAAATTTTGATAAAAAATTCAAAGCAGCAATTGAATTTTCTGAAAGTGCATGCCGTCTATCACTAAGAATATTGGTATATGCCGAAAA